CTCACTGTAAAGAGTCTTTGAGTCTACCCTCCCTCTCACTGTAAAGAGTCTCTGAGTCTACCCTCCCTCTCACTGTAAAGAGTCTTTGAGTCTACCCTCCCTCTCTCTGTAAAGAGTCTTTGAGTCTACCCTCTCTCTCACTGTAAAGAGTCTTTGAGTCTACCCTCCCTCTCACTGTAAAGAGTCTTTGAGTCTACCCTCCCTCTCACTGTAAAGAGTCTTTGAGTCTACCCTCCCTCTCTCTGTAAAGAGTCTTTGAGTCTACCCTCCCTCTCACTGTAAAGAGTCTCTGAGTCTACCCTCTCTCTCACTGTAAAGAGTCTTTGAGTCTACCCTCTCTCTCTCTGTAAAGAGTCTTTGAGTCTACCCTCCCTCTCACTGTAAAGAGTCTTTGAGTCTACCCTCCCTCTCTCTGTAAAGAGTCTTTGAGTCTACCCTCTCTCTCACTGTAAAGAGTCTTTGAGTCTACCCTCCCTCTCACTGTAAAGAGTCTTTGAGTCTACCCTCCCTCTCACTGTAAAGAGTCTTTGAGTCTACCCTCCCTCTCTCTGTAAAGAGTCTTTGAGTCTACCCTCCCTCTCACTGTAAAGAGTCTTTGAGTCTACCCTCTCTCTCACTGTAAAGAGTCTTTGAGTCTACCCTCTCTCTCATTGTAAAGAGTCTTTGAGTCTACCCTCCCTCTCACTGTAAAGAGTCTTTGAGTCTACCCTCCCTCTCACTGTAAAGAGTCTCTGAGTCTACCCTCCCTCTCACTGTAAAGAGTCTTTGAGTCTACCCTCCCTCTCACTGTAAAGAGTCTTTGAGTCTACCCTCCCTCTCACTGTAAAGAGTCTTTGAGTCTACCCTCCCTCTCACTGTAAAGAGTCTTTGAGTCTACCCTCTCTCTGTAAAGAGTCTTTGAGTCTACCCTCCCTCAGGCAGTCAGATCTACACCAGTGTCGGCACTTCAGGTAGAGGTCGGAGAAATACCCATTTCTTTGAGGAGAAAACAGTTAATTGTTAATTACTGGGCAAATCTACAGGGCCATGAAGATACTCACCCTACTAAACAAACTGTACAAACAAGTTGGGAAAGTAACACAATTATAAATAAAGTTTTTGTGTTTGTGTTTCAGAGTTATGTAAGGAATTCAAAGTTAAAGAATGGAATATTAGTCTGACGGTGTTGTTATCAGCTGTTCCACCATGGTTGCTACCTCAACCTATAGTAGATTTATCTTTATTGAAACGGTTACATTCAATGAAAAGTAAAATCAATGTGCAGGCGTATGTGAACACTGTTCTACACGAACACTGTTCTACGCGAACACTGTTCTACGCGAACACTGTTCTACGCGAACACTGTTCTACGCGAGCACTGTTCTACGCGAACACTGTTCTACGCGAACACTGTTCTACATGAACACTGTTCTACATGAACACTGTTCTCCATGAACAATATGGGCACTTTATACAGATATTTACTGATGGATCCAAAAATCCAGAAAATGGTCAAACTAGTTGTGCATTTGATGTTCCTGAATTAAAAGTCAAAGTGGGAAAGCGGACAAGTGATCACATGGCAGTGTACTCAGTAGAGATGATGGCTATCTCACTAGCACTTCAGAGGGTAGAGGAAGTGCAGCCATTGAGAGTGGTCATTTGCTCTGACTCCAGCTCTGGAGAGTATAAACAACTTCTCTTCAGAATGTCCTCAGGATATTTTACACGTCATGTTTAGGTTAGTTCATCTAGGAATTGTTGTTCAGTTTGTGTGGGTTCCAGCGCATGTGGGTATTAGAGGGAATGAGGAAGTGGATCAACTGGCAACATGTGGTTTGAAAGCAAACCAGATTGATATTATGGTACCCATCAGTAGAGCAGAAGTAACATCTGTTACAAAAGTTGTTATCAAGCAACAATGGCAAAAGCGATGGGACAGTAACACCAAAGGAAGACATACCAGATACAAAGGGAAGTAGGAACGGGAAGCACTTGGGGGAGTAGTAGAAGAGAACATTAACAGCAGGATCACATTGGGTCACTCTGGATTAAACTCATCACTGCATCTGATTGGAAAACATCCAAATGGCAGCTGTGATGGTTGCCAACAACCAGAGACAATACATCATGTATTTTTTAGCTGCACGGATTATAACAGACAAAGACTCATTCTGAAAACTGCACTGGAACAACTCAACATCAAGGACATGGGTCTCAAGGCAATATACGAAAGTAAATCAAGAAATGAAGTTAACAAGCTGATCTTCAAGTTCTTCAAAAGCACTGGTCTGAGGACAAGGATTTAGTATAAACATTTAATAAATCAACAGTAGGTGGCGATATATGCTCCAAGTGGAAGCGATTCGCCATTAAAGAGAAGAAGAAGAAGAAGAAGAAGGATCCTCAGTAATGATTTGAAAGTGACGCAGAGACATCGGACTAACCCTCAGCAGAGTTTATGCTCTTGAACACAACTTTGGATCAGAAACCCAGAGGTAAGACTTCATTATCATCATGGTTGCGTGAAGTGAAGTTGTTTCCTTGCTCTTTCCTGGCTGCTAGTTCAGTGAGTTCTGGTCGAGATGAGACTGATATGGAATCTGTGGAAGCTTCATGTGAGATGTGTTTTGTGCAGATAGGATGACTTTGTTGTGAGTTATGTGTTAACTTAGCATGTTTCGCTAAGTGTTTCAGAGGCTTGGTGTTACGTGTTTGGTTTAGCTAAACGTGGTATCGTCTGTTCGCTGAGTTTCTTCCGGTTCAGTGGGTAAGAAGCATTAATAGGTTGTTAAATGTTAAGAAGCTCTGAGACTATATTATACTATTTAATCTCCTTGTTTAGCCGAAAACATTTGATATTTGAACATTACAATAATAATAATTATTAGCAGTCGTAAAATAAGTATCAGCTCCTTGTTGTATTATGTCTCTGAGTGGAATATATATTCCACTCAGAGACATAATACAACAAGGAGCTGATACTTATTTTATGACTGCAAATAATAATGATTGTAATGTTTCCATGTTCCATCAGGTGAGTGAGTGCACACATGGAATCGAGTGCTGCTACAAAAACCTGAGAGAACGTGAGAGATAACATAAATAAACATAACTAAAGAGCAAAAATGGCACCCAGGAAAAATCCAAACTCTGACGAGGTGGAGGAGATCAAGAATTCTCTCGACTTCTTGTCAGCCGAAATTAAAACAGTCGCGGCCCAGCAAAATAAAATCATGGAGCTGATGGGAGAAATACAATCTCTGAAAATGCAGAATATTGAAAAGGACAAAAAGATCACTTTTCTGGAGAATCGAGTGGACGACCTCGAACAATACACCAGGATGAACGATTTGATTATCAACGGTCTGAAGACCAGACCCCGAAGCTATGCCATATGGGCTCAGAACAGTCTCATAATACATACATGCACACAGAAGGATTCACACTTGTATTTCATGATCCGCAAAAGGATTCACACTTGTATTTCCGGATCCACACTTGTGTTTTTCAATGCACACACAAATGTGTTCCGTTTCATATACATGTAAATAAAATCCAAATACAGAAAAAAGTTTTACATATGTATTTTTGATCCTCACATATTTGTTTTCCGTTTAAATCCCCTGCACCTACAAACACAAACCGCTTTCTGTGCATGGATCGCTGTGCATTCGTGTGTGGGTTTTTTGAGACTCCCCTGACGGTGACCCGATTCGTACTTGTAATTGTTTCTATCTATAGCCAATCAGATGTCTCCTCAATTATAAGCCAATCACATGAGCGCGCCCCCACGAGGGTAGATTTCTTGCATTCATGTCACTTCATATACGCATTTTGCGTAGTCCGGAGCAGGGTTTCCGCGGACAGAATTTAATTTTACCGGACAAATTTGAAACTTACCGGTCATGTTTCAATAATAATAATTATAAGAATTGTGTAGCAGCGTTTCCGTTAGGTAATTACCGGACTATGACCGGATAATAACACGGGAGTAAGGATCATCTCTTTTCCTCTCTCCCTCCCTCTCTCCTGACAGCCCGTCAGTTTCTCATGCAGCTCGCTAAAATTCACTCGCGTTTATGTCCATATCGATCAGATCCAGCTCTCCTGATCGGCCTTTATAGAGAGCACCGATCAAACTATTAAGAGTGAATATCGGCCGATAATGACCGGCGGGGCTCTCCCCGTTGACAGTTCACTGTCTAGCACTGGCTTCGTAGTGCACTGATCGATTAGGCTAAGCTAACCTGTAGCTGCTCCCTCCACACTCACAACAACTTCATACAGACATAAATAAAGCAGCTGTATTCGCCATACAGGAAACACACATTTAAAACAGTTTTGCCTGCCGTTTTTGTGTACACAAGCATTCATTAATGGTTCGGAAAGTGGCACTGTACCTTAATAATATAAAGGCTTGTATTTGTGTGCATTTCCTGCTCGGAAAGTGGCAATGTACTGAGAGTGGAGGTGTCCTGAGATTAGCGCCTGCAGGCAGGCTCCATGGACCTGTCAGCTCCGGACAGCGCAAAATGCGTACATGAAGCGCTACGTCATGAACGCAAGAAATCTACCCTCGTGGGGGCGCGCTCATGTGATTGGCTTAGAATTGAGGAGACATCTGATTGGCTATAGACAGAAAAAATTACAAGTACGAATCGGGTGACCGTCAGGGGAGTCTCAAAAAACCAACACACGAATGCACAGCGATCCATGCACAGAAAGCGGTTTGTGTTTGTAGGTGCAGCGGTTTTAAACGGAAAACAAATATGTGAGGATCAAAAATACATATGTAAAACTTTTTTCTGTATTTGGATTTTATTTACATGTATATGAAACGGAAAACATTTGTGTGTGCATTGACAAACACAAGTGTGGATCCGGAAATACAAGTGTGAATCCTTTTGCGGATCATGAAATACAAGTGTGAATCCTTCTGTGTGCATGTGTGTATTATGAGACTGTTCTGAGCCCATAATGCCAGGGTGGCAGCGGCCTCAGAGGACTCCGCTGCCGGGAGAGGTGGAGCCGACGCTCCGGAGGTGGACCGTGAGTCGCTGGAGCAACAGGTGCTTTGCTTTTTGGACAGCAAGGGCATATCTGTTGACAGCGGAGATATTGAGGCCTGTCATGCCCTGCGGAGCAAGAACTCAACAGCCACCCCAGCAATAATAATCCGGTTCATCAACAGGAAAAAGAAATATGCACTCCTCAGACAAGGAAGGAAACTGAAGGGGACCAATGTTTACATCAACGAACACCTTACGAAGAAGAACGCGGACATCGCAAGGAGAGCACGTATACTGAAGAAACAAAACAAGATTCAAGCAACATGGTCGACAAATTGTAAAATGTTCATCAAACTAAACGGATCAACAGCAGAGATGGCGAAAGTGATCATTATCAGGGACATCACCGAGTTGGATCAGTTTGATGAATGAAACATCAAAATCAACATAAGGTAACTCAATCGCTACACACTGAAATGAACACACTAAGAACACCCATGATAAGCTTGGACAAAATTGCTGAATATAAAAAACTGGACTTGAAATGTTTCAAATACACGGAACATAAATCGCAAGATATTGAAAAGGATATTGACCCTGAAAATAATTTCTACAAGAACATCCATAACCAATGTGAATACTACACAGAAGATCAACTCAAAAGAAATGGATTGATGGATGGATCAATATCAATATTACATTTCAATAGCAGAAGCCTAATTTCAAATGTATCAAAGATCAAACACTGTTTAAGGCAACTGGAGAAACAAGTTACAGCCCTAGCAATATCAGAGACCTGGCTTAGTGATGAGCAAGCTGACATGGTTGAAATCGAGGGATACAACATGTTTTTTACTAATAGGACTCATTCTAAAGCTGGGGGGACTGCACTTTATATTAACAAAAGTTATAAAAGTAGATCTGTCAGTAATATGTCTTTTGCTTTAGACAACATCATGGAATGCATAACAGTAGAAATTGAAATCTAAAAATCTAAAAACCTTCTGATAAGCTGCGTGTATAGAAAACCAGGATCATGTGTTGACACATTTGAGAAAAAGCTAGCTGAACTTTATAACTACACAAGCAGCAAGAAAATGCTTTTTGTATGTGGAGATTTTAATATTGATTTGCTGAACCCACAAGAACACAATGCAACTACAGAATTTATTAATTCTATGTATAGCAACAGTTTATATCCTACAATCACACGACCGACCAGAATAACATCACACAGTGCTACACTCATTGACAACATATTCACAAATGTTATGGATAGGAAAGTAATAAGTGGAATATTAATAAATGACACAAGTGATCACTTGCCAGTCTTTGCAACAATACAGAACTGTACTAGGATCAAAAAAGACACCAGAACAGTCGTAATTACAAGACACAAAACACCAGAGTCTGTCAATTCTTTTAAAGAAGAATTACGTAAACAAGACTGGAACAAAGTGTATGTACCAGATGTAAATGAAGCTTATGAATCATTTCTAGATATTCTATCAGGGCTGTATGAAAAACATTGTCCTCGTGTAAAGAAAATTGTGAAACAAAAATATGCTGAAAAACCATGGATCACTAAGGGAATAGAAAATGCTTGTAAAAAGAAAAATGAATTATATAAAGACTTGTTAAAGAATAGAACAGTAGAGGCTGAACAAAAATACAAGACATACAAAAACAAATTAACAAAGATAATACGATGTAGCAAAATGGATCATTACAACAAATTATTGGAAGATAACAAAAATAATATTAAAAACACATGGAATGTATTAAATACCATTATTAAAAAAGGAAATGGAAAAGCACAGCACCCAAACAGTTTTCTGTCAAAAGACAATACAGTCATTTATGACATGACCTCAGTTGCTGAACAGTTTAATGAGTATTTTGTTAATGTTGGTCCTTGTCTAGCTGGGGGAAATTCCAAATACTGGTAGTAGTGAAGGTGTAGAAAGTAAAGATATAAATGTGAAGGAAACTATATTCTTAAGAGGGACTGATGAAAATGAAATTATTGACACAGTTAAAAAACTAAAGAGTAAAAGGTCTACAGACTGTCATGATATTGACATGTATACAGTTAAAAACATTATTGAATGTATAGCCAAACCACTAACTCACATCTGTAATCAGTCAATACAAACCGGTGTATTTCCAAATAAAATGAAAACTGCTAAAGTCATACCGATACATAAATCTGGAGATAAACATGTACTGTCAAACTATAGACCAATTTCATTGCTCCCACAGTTTTCTAAAATACTGGAAAAAATCTACTATGTAAGACTAAATGACTTCTTCACCAAACATAACATACTCTATGAACAACAATATGGTTTCAGAGCAAACAGAACCACATCATTTGCAGTTATAGAATTTATGGAACACATTACTAAGGCAATAGAAAAGAAAGAATATGCAATAGGGATATTTCTGGACCTTAAAAAAGCATTTGACACGGTTGACCATGAACTATTATTAAAAAAACTACAGAGATATGGAATTAGAGGTGTTGCACTATCATGGCTATCCAGCTACCTACATAACAGGAATCAGTACGTTGAAATACAAAGTCATACATCACAACTACTACAGGTTACATGCGGGGTGCCTCAAGGCTCTGTCTTGGGGCCATTATTATTTATTCTGTATATTAACAACATATGTGAAGTATCAAAAACTGTTAAAACCATTCTTTTTGCAGATGACACAAGTCTATTCTGCTGTGGGGACAATCTAGAACAGCTATTGGTCACAATGGAAAAGGAACTGAGCAGGATGAAGATCTGGTTTGACCAAAATAAATTAACATTGAACGCAAGCAAAACCAAACTCATAATATTTGGGAATCGGTCGACCAATACAGAGAAGAAACTCACTATAAATGGCGTCCAACTAGAAAGAGTAACGGAAATAAAATTCCTTGGAATAATCATAGACAATAAATTAAGTTGGAAACCACATATAAGCTATATCAAAGCCAAATTATCCAAATCAATAGCCATTCTAAATAAAGCCAAATACCTAGTTAATCAAGCTTCCTTGTTTATGCTGTACTGCTCCTTCATACTTCCATACATGATGTATTGTGTGGAGGTTTGGGGGAACACATACAAAACAAATACACATCCTATCTTCATCCTGCAAAAAAGAGCAATACGAGTTATACACAAAACTTCGTACAGAGAACCAACAAATAAATTATTTATCAAACTAAAAACACTAAAACTACAAGACCTGGTTGACTATAAAACCATTCAAATTATGTACAAGGCTGCAAATCATCATTTGCCTCATGGTGTCCAGGGACTTTTTACACGGAGAGAAGGCATGCACATGTTGAGAGGAAACTGCATTTTCAAAAAACCACCCGTACGTACAAATGCCAAACTTCATTGCATCTCATCAAAAGGTGTTAGTCTGTGGAATAAATGTAGTGATGCACTGAAAAATTGTACAACTTTATATAAAATGACAGTATTATTCAAGAGCCAAACCATTCGTGGTTATGAACAGTACCTGTACAAATTATTTTTGTTATTTCCTGTAATTGTAAAAGTAATTACTTCCTGATTGTTTTTGTAAAAAAGTATCAAGACAAACATGTCGCTGATGACGATGACCTAATTACTTCATTTATACTGCAAGGAAAATGTACGCTAGAAGGGGTAGGACCAGAACAGTTTTTTAAGCTTCTTCTTGCCCCTGTTGAACACGACAGAGACTATTTAAGATTTATTGTTGTTTCTTTTTATTTCTTTTTTGTTTTGCATTATCATTATTATCTATTTTATTGTACTTTGGTATAATTATTATGAGTGAGAAGGAAGAAAAGGAAGAAGCAATATATATTATTATTAGTATTGATGTATGTTTTGTTTCTGACATGTTCAATAAATTGACATAAAAAAAAAAAAAAAAATGTTGTGATTGGACGAGAGACTCAACTTTTCACTGCCATTTCTAGCCTGTAGCTGCTGAGCATCTGATGATAAAACCTTTCTTTGTATTTAAGAATTGTTATTTTCTCTTTTGCCAAATAAGCACATTGCAAAGAAGGCAGACAGGAAGCAGAGCCCTGAGGAGATGCTGGCCGCTCTGGCTGAAGAAGATAGCCAGTCAGACTCTCCGGTCGACTCGGAGTCGGACGACGAGGACCTCCTGCAGCCGGAGAGACGCCGGGACTCACATCATGATGTTCCACCATCGGAAAGGTACGTCTTCTCTTTGGTCCATTACTTATTGATCTGGTGTAAGACAGGGGGGGTCCAAACTCTTTTCACCGAGGGCCACATGCAGAAAGATATACGAAGGGCTGGGCCGCTCAGAGGTTTATTGCCTCGTAAGTTATAAGTTAGCAAAATGTAGGTAAATTAGGCGTGATACATGAATATGCTTTGATCCCAGCTCTCTGTAGGGTTTCATTTATCTTGTTAGCATCCCTTAAAACAGATCCTCAGAGTCATTATAATGACATGAAATAGGAGAAGGGTCTATTTCAAGCTTGTGATGGAAATAAGTTGTTGGGCTTCTGTTGAGTGAATTCATTTTAGAAGTGGGCTTATTAACACGGGTTTCATTTGTGGGCCATTTGTCATTATACTTTATGAATTAGCTGAGGCCGCATCTGGCCCCCGGGCCGTAGTTTGGACCCCGCTGCTGTCAGATCATTCATCGACCCACCTTATTGTCCCGTAGTGAATAAACTCACACACTCAGCCTGGATGGTAACTTCCCCAGAACAGGAAGCATTTACCTCAACATCCAGTTAGTGTGACGTGTCTGTTTGGAGTTACATTTTCAAAAGTATAAGCCAGTGAATTCATCTGTTTGTTTTCACAGTGATGAAGAATACGAGTCTAAAATGGCTTCTGCTCCCCCCTCACATCCTCAGCCATCATCTTCCTCATCTGGATCTGAATCACCCAAAGACACGCAGTCCAAAGGAAAAGCCTCATCAAACCCCATGAAGCGTGTCTGCAGGTCTCCCCGAGGTGGGTCTCCCCGAGGTGGGTCTCCCCGAGGTGGGTCTCCCCGAGGTGGGTCTCCCCGAGGTGGGTCTCCAGCCCTCAGATGCATGCCCATGTATTATGGGGAAGATGGCACCCAGTCCAGGAGGTACTGCAGGAGGTGCAGAGATGCTGGCTCCAAGAGGGTGAAGACACCGGTCTACTGCAGCAAGTGCCAGGTCCCTCTGTGCCTCACTGCCAACAAGAACTGTTTTACGGAGTGGCACCTAAACCCTCACATTCAGGATGTATGAAGTTCTGCCAGTGTGTTGTTTTCACCTACCTCTAAAGTAGAGTGTGGATTTCTTGTATATTGTGTTTAATGTTTGAAATAAATCTGCTCCAGTTGGAGTCAAACTGTGCATGTTTTTTTGATGAATGGGGAGAGGTATAGAGGTCTGGGTGAATGATCAAAAGCAGTGTGGTTCCTGAGAAAGGTCAAAGGGCACTGATGGCCCTGATGTACCCAAAGGTGAGTCCGCCTGGACCTGCCTCTGCTAAACCTCTCAAGTTTCACTAATGGCGCGTTTCCACTGCAGCGCGGAGCACGGTTTAAGAGGGCTGTGACGTCAGCGGCCGGTCTTTGGTTGCGTTTCCACTTGGCCTAGTACCGGCCGGCGGGTCCTAATTCACAGTTTTTCTGGCCTCATAAAATCGTGGGTCTAGGGCCAGAGACAACGAGGCTGAGTCGGGCTGAGTCGGGCTGAGTATGCTAAACTAGAGAGAGCATCGCTGGCAAGGGGGCTACAACTACAACAAGATGGACATATTTGACCGTGATTTAATTGTAATACACGTTTCAAAATGATGAAGTAACAACATACTGATACCGGTTAGTAAAAACCATGAATTAATGCTTTGACAAGTCTGCAGACAGACGGCAGGAGAAACACCTTTTAAAATGCGTGTTTTCTGAATGGAGATTGGCTAAGCTAACGCAGTATATGCTCCAACCAACCTGAGGCCTGTACTACGAAGCCGGATGTTCTCTGAGCTGACTTCAGGTAAACTCTGGCTTTCCGGTCCTACGACGCTGGTTCTCTTTTTAGCGGGCTAGATCTCCATGGTAACTGATGCTGAGCGGCTAGCCTCCTCGGGAGCAGGTTAGGTTGCAGGCTAAGAGATCAACTCAGTGAAAGCACCGCCTGCTGACCAATCAGAGCTCAGTGTGCAGAGTTTAAAGCTTTCAAGTCATATTACAGGATAGAGGAAATACAGAAAAACTGCCGTTGCAGGAAAGACGGCCGGCAAAAATCACCTGACTGTGTGAACGTGAACATTAATAGAATATCCCCTCCTCCCATCTTCAGAGCAATCTGACTATTATAACATTAGCGTTAAGAAAGCTTACTTAAATATCTGCCACAACATAAGTAACCGGATCAGAGTAACATTAAGTACAGTCCGTGGCACTGTGAGTGCAGACGTCGATGTGTCCCATTATCATTCATATCATATCACATAATGTATCATATATCTCCTTATCTGAGTCAGCTGAGCCGTATCTGGCCGTGCAACACTCACAGTGTCACATACTGGATGCAGAAGTATTATTTTAAGCAACACATTAAGTTGACGAAACACTGGAGTCAAATGTAATTAAAGTCAGATCGTGTCTTAGACGGGGCAGTGATATCATAAACCTGTTAAAGCTCCCATGTCATGCTTTTCCGGTTATTACCCGTCCCCTTGTGTGTTATGAAGGTTTTTATGCATGTAAACGGTGTGCAGAGTCAAAACCCTCAAAGTACACCCTGTAGCGAGTAAAACTCTAACACAGAAAATACCTCCCCAAAACGCCTCGTTGGAGATACGTCACTGCCCATTTGAGTCTTCCATTTAGTTCCGGGTACCGCCTGATGTCATGCGGTACCCGGAACGAAATGGACCAATCCCGAAGAGCTATGGCCACACCAGCAGCGGCGTGTTCCTCCTCCAGAGGTTCGAAGAACCGGCATTTCACAGACGAAAGCTTCCAAAACATTGCCCAGTTTGAGGCCGGATATGCACAGCTTGTTTGGACCGTTTGGAGCAGGGGAAGATCTGGGTATACAACCTGTAAGTTTGCATTGTTATTTGTGTATTTATCAAACAAGACTGTTTAAATGTGTAAACTGTGTTGGACTGCTAAGCCATTGACACAGTGCTAACTGTGCTAACTAAGTTGCTAGAGTTTCCATATATCAACTCTAATATCAGCAGATGGCCTTGCATACATGTATCTCATAGCAGGAGAATGTCTGCATTCACACACAAAATACCTATTGACAGTATACTGCGGGTGATTTGCCGGTCAGTCGCGAAACGTAATTACATTATAGCTGGCGTAGCGTGTATGCAACCGATCTAACACACGGAGCTAGAGCTAGTTTTGGTCAGAAAAACATTTTTGTGATGCTACGTTGCTAGCGTTTAAATATATCAACTACAATGTCAGCAGATGGCCTTACATGTTTGTCATGGCAGGAGAATGTCTGCAGTCACACACACGGAATACTCATACAGTATACTCCGGTTTACCGTACATTGTGACCGTACATATACTGCATGTAGCTAACGAGGCTAGCTGTATGCTAGCGCAAAACAATGTATTCATGCAAGTTACATTGTATGGTAGCAGAATACCCGTATACGATTGCAATTATAAACACGTTATTGCTAGCCTAATATGAACCACTAGCTTTTGTTCATAGTAGTTTTATTACACTGCATTATAGTTGCCTTTCCTCCAAGCTAACGTTCATATCGTGTTAGCTACCAAGGTAAACAAAGCTAGGTTAGCATATTAGCAGGCAAGCTGTTCATTACACAACTACTACTAACGAATCTAAAACAACTAAGTTTCTCTAATATTTTGTGATTTGCATTTGATTTCGTCCAGCCAGATCCTGGCGGACAATCCATGACGGGGAAGGGATTCTACTACTACTGAGGCCTCGTGCTAAAAGGCACCGCACCGCACCGGCTGTGCGCAGGCAAGATGCGAGGAGGAGGAATGGATGATATACCGTGTGTATATATGTATATTTATGTTCATTTTGTACATTTCTAAAAATAAAGTTTAATGGAAATACTTAGTAGGCCTATCCTTTCTTCCCTGAATTCATATATAGCAAACCATGATTTGATTTCTCATCAAACAGTAGTAGTTTATAACGGGTAAAAATAACTTACTCTTTGTTATGAGCGGCTCGTAGGCCACAACGGAAAGACAAGGAGACATACACGAGTTTACAAAACCACGGCACATTTATTGTGGTAAATGCAGAGACAGGTGGTTGAGAGGATCGCAGAGTTAGTCTTCCTGCAGCCGCTTTGGAGAGAGACTGGGGCCGTAGTGTCCGGAGGTGTCCGTGATCGTGCTGATTACCCTCTTCAGCTCCACCCCATCGTAAGACAAAGGCCTTGGGGCCGTCACACTCTTCTATAACAACAGTTAAAAATATATATGTATATAAAATATACCGCTGTACCGACGCCATGATAAGACTGATGTTACGCTGAGAGCAGCCGGGAAAAGCACTGACATGGGCGCAGCCTCTCTGGTGGTTGACTAATCAGAACGAGTGGCCGAGCTGACCAATCGGAGCACACTAGGCTCACAGGGAGGGGGGGGGCAAGAGCTCCAACGAGTCGTTTAGTGGAGAAAGTGAATACTGCTGAATACACATGCTTGACAGAGATGCTGTATGCGAAACCAATGTGAGTTTGGAAAATTGCACAGTATAAATCTATTTTAGTATACCTCAACAATGTAATTATGATCAGTGGAAATGGCCATGACATGGGCCCTTTAATGTACGCATTCAAACACTTTTTCTGTTACCAGCTGTATTCACCTTGCAGGTGCAGCTATGTGGCTTTGATCCTGGATAAAGTGTTTAAGTCATGGATGTTTAAAGTTTAACTTCTTCATATTTGTCTAATATTAAAGTTCACTTTTCATTCAGGAAGTATGACGCTGCGCTGTCAGTACGCTTGTCCATGTTTGTGATTGGTCGAATGCTCCAGATACCACCCCTTTCATGTGAACGCGCACCTAACTAGATAGGACACGGCTGGCTTGAGCGATCCACTTGATAACCAGCGTCGTAGGACCGTTTAGCGAGAGCGCGTATGTTTTGGATTGGGCCAACCGGCTAACTCAAACATATCCAGGTTAGGAAAATCCGGCTTCGTAGTACAGGTATGGAGCTAATTTCCTGCCATAACTCCACAAACAAACTAAACAGGTTTTACAAATGCCTTATGATTCACTAACAAACACAATGTGGTTTGCAAATACAAAACACCATCTACCAACTAATGCATTTAGTTTTGCAAAGAAAAAACGTATCTATCAAACAAACACATAACATTATTCTAATAAATCATGTTTCAGAGACAAATTCAGCTTAGGTTTTACAAGTGCACAACTTTTTTTTACAACTACAAAACTTTTTCTTCTCACAGCGGAATATTACTGCCAAAAGTCACGTGAGTGAGTCACGTGACTTTTGGCAGTAATATTCCGCCGTGACTGGCTCATACACACTCACACATGCTACACGGCAGCAGGGGGCGCTACTGAGTCCATTGGGAAGACGGGAGGTTGAGCAGAGCATGGAACAGCTCTTGCCAGTCTGATGACAGGTGTTATAGTGATAATATTATAAACAAGGTGAATTTAGCGATCACAACGAAAACAGCCAAGACACATATTGAGCCCAGAAAATAAATGTTATTAGGGGCTGTAAATATAATAAGCCTTTGTCTAAAATGGACAACATTGTAACTAAGGAGATTTAAACTATATATACAGCCAGGGGACGTTCGGGACGAATCCCGATGGGCCGGTACTGAAGTGGGCCGGTCGGATAAGTCACTGCTCACCCCCCCTTCCCCCCCGTCGACAATTTCCTCGCGGTATTTACTTGCGGCACCACCGAGGTGGGCCGCTTACTTGCGGTACCGAGGTGGGCCGGCGGTACCGAAGTGGGCCGGTCGAGAGTCCCGGGCTGATTTGTAGTCCCAGTCCGCCCCTGTATACAGCGATTCTGCACTCGGTCAATCAGCTGTTTTCATTTTTATTCCTGCTATATTCAATGAGTGATACAAATATTTTTTACCACAAGTTCTTAATAAAACTGACACTGTTGGACTCGGTACTAGTTGACTGCAACCAGAAATAAAATGAAGTACTTTACCGTGTACTTTGTGAGTAATCCTCTGTCAGAGTCCCCTCCATAGTACATAATGCATGTTTTTTGCTATCTTTGATGAATGATAAAAATAAAATGTTACCATTAGTTCTTAATGAAATTGATACGGTTTGACTTTGTATTAGTAAGCCTACTACTAACAATACATTGAAGTACTTTTA